ACCAATTGTCTTGCTCGTCTGTTGGCTGAATATACAGGCTCCGCCTCTCTGTCAGGTGAGAGTCCCTCTGGGATCCTCCTGCGAGGTCGAGGCATCGCGGCATATAGTACATGGATTTGGGGGAAAGGTGATGGCGATATCTGTCGTTGAGTTTTGTCCTGGGTTACACGCGCGGACCGCTGGAGCGGGCTCGTTGGGGCAGAGACCAGGGGCTTGCGCAAATGATCTACAATCAGGTCAGTCATGAAGCTCACAGAACAAGATATGGCTCGTCATACCTCGCCCTCGCTGTAAGCCCAGAAGTACACAATCAGGGCGGTGAGGTAGTAGATTGCTGGGTTCGTCGCCTGGTAAAGAAGAGAGGCGGCGAGGGTGGTAAGAGGCAACATGACGAGACGGAACTCGAGGCTGCGGTGAAGTGCCGTGCCGGCAAGTAGAGGCATGGGCCATTCGAGAGCGAACATGAACAAGCCCATAACCAGATTTATGATTTGAAGGGCCGGTATAGGCTTGACAGCCGGATCCAATGTCTTGGTGAGGAAGTCCCAGAAGATCTTAGGCCAGAAGAAGCCCTCGATGGCAGCAGCAACTTGATCTATTTGAGTGTAAGCGACCTGACAATTTCGCATCTCATGGTGATAGGACTTACAAGCTGACGCTGTCATGACGATGAGGCGAGCCCAGTGGTTCTTGATGAGGCGACCCATGGTTCCAGGGTTACACCGTCCTTCTAATCCTGTCTTCTTCTGATCTGTCCTGCGTCTCCTTTGCTGATCGACAGTCGTCGATGTCTGCGCAGTCGTCTCTCGAGCTGTCTGGGACCAAATGACGAGAAGGCCTGGCGATGTAATGACGAAAGTCGATGCGTCTGACGGTGATTCGAAAGAAGCAAAAGGGACCTCGTTGCCCAAAGCTAACCCGGAGCCCGAACCAAATAAAGACACCGAAAAAAGGAGAGAAAAGTCGACCCGGTCGAGAGTTGAAAATGAGTCCTAGACTGGTGGAAGAAAGGAAGGTGAGGTGCCGGACCTGCGGAGGAGAAGAGAACGTCGAAACGGTAAAAAGAGAGCCGATATTAAAGAATGCTATCGACTAGGCAAGTGCACAGCGCTGGCAGAGAAGAAGGCCAAAAGTGTCACCTGTCTGTTGGCGGGGAATGGGCGGCTCTATATTGGGATGGAGAGACTCCGGACGAGAGAAGGGTGTCTGAAGTCGGAGGAGCACGACCCTCGGAGTGTAGACGATGGACGGGGGTCTGGGGTCGACAAGGCGACGAGGGTGTGGTGGAGGGAGAATGGCCCTCGCCCGGAGGGCAGGACACCAAGGCGAAGCAAAAGCTTGTGTCTGGTGTCGAGGGGCCTGTGTCAGAGGCTGGGATCTGGGACGGGTGGTGAAGGGAACGATGGCCCAGGGTGAGCAGGGTATGGGACGTCTCTGGGTGGGCCTCGAACGCGACACTGACGATGGGGTGGGCGATGGGTCAAGTAGCGGCGCAAGTCTTTCGCGATCCAGGTTCTGGTGATCTGATCTATGATGACAGCTGGCATCCGAGCGACATTGAGACGTGAACGGTGGGAGGAGAGGCGCGGCGTCCAAGGGGTGGGCGATCGCGTGTCAGAGAGAAGTGGGCGAGGAGGTGGTTAGGTTGAGGGATCTGAGGCTCTTCTGTTTTGCGGGCTTGCGCTGGGATCTGGAGCTGTCTGGTGCAAATGCCGGTAGTGCGTCGCAGGTCGTGGCCGTGGAAGGTTGTGGGTGAGCAAGGCAAGTCTGGTTGTCGGTGCGTAAGAGGTGGGGTCTGATACGTGATCGTCTTCAGGGATGGAGAGTCTGTCTTTTGCGGTTTGCGATGTGGGCTGGCGCATGAAGAGGTTTGAAGATCAGACAGTTGGGTAGGGGACGGGGAAGGGGTTGTTGAAGCGGCGGCAGAGGCTGTTTTATCAGACCGACCGTTACGATCTGGATGGACGGGAGGGGGGGGGCAATCACTCTGAGCCAGCCATCCCATGCGTAGCCGATGGCCTCTGGCCGGTGGCCGCTGGGCGAGGCCTTTTGCCGTTCATCATGCAGCATGCGGTTCGAGGAGGCCCCGGATGTGGTCACACTGGCGACCTGGGCGCATGGTTAATCGAGGGCGGCTTCTTCTAAGAGGGGAAAATGTGGCGGGCTAAGCCGCTAGACTGAGCGAGAAACATGAGAGTGATATCCCGGCGTACGAATTGCAGAGGCTGCAGAGACATGCGGTAGCGACGGGACCAGCATCGGGACGTCGAGAATGGTGTTCTGAATCTGGGCAGAATCGATAATTGCCAGGGCCAAAGTGCAGGCAGCACAAGGAGAATGCTCAAAGAGGGTGTGATTGGTAAAAGCTCGGCGGTTAGAAAGCAGCTTCGACCAATGGTGGGTCTTGCCGCTGCAGCTCAGGCAAGGGTGTAACAAGGGGGGGCCCCTTCCCTCCCGCCCAGACTGACGAGATGCTGGCGCCAAAAAGGCCCTGGGCTCCTTCCCTCCCTGCTACTCGTGACTCGATGAGGGGCATCTGGGGTCACTGTCAGTCTAGGAGATTTTTGGACAAGTCGGATCGTGAACGAGCCCATGAGCTTGTTCTGGGATTGGTCCAAACGAGCAGGAAAATTCATTCGAATTGGGATACGATAGTTGAAGTGAGGCGAGAGAGGTCTTGGTACGTAGGAACATCGGCCCAGCCCCTCCCCTCCCCTCTCTTCCCCTTCGGTCCCGTCTGCACCTTCTGATCCCGCCTGCAGGTGTGAAAGAGGGTGCTCCCCGCCTGCAACTGCCACACGGCACCCATCACCTTAGCACGCGGTACCTAAGAGGGTTACCTCTGATGGCTGGCACAGTGGCTGGCACCTCCCAAGCCGTCTTGCAACCGAGCGTACCTTCCACTCAGCTGAACCGTTGCATCGATCCGTCAACCCATGTACAGGCGCAGGCAAAGTCAGGATACCATGATGCTTATGCCATCTCATGCTGAGACGGTTGATCAAGGGAGCTCCGACAGACACCAGTTCCAGAATCTCATGGCTGACGCAAGTCCTGTTTGACAAAGTCACATGGGCGACTTGTCCATGTCTCGCCAGCGACAGGGGTCTTGGGCTTTGGCTCTGGGTCCGAGCTCCATTCTAGACGTCTCTTCCAGGCCTCTCTTTCCGTCTGTTCTCCATACCCTCGGTGAGTGTCTACCATTGCACGCTTGGTACCACCACAAGCGTAACCCGCACCGTCACACCGCTGTCGCAATGGAAACACTGGGTCTCGAGCTGGAGAATATAGCTTCGAGCCCGCATGTCTAGCGGGTTGCACGAGCATCGTCATCCGCCGGCTCGACCGACTCATGGGCTTCCACCAGCATGTGTACAGTTGCCAACCTTTCTCGACGTCGATGGACCAATATGCAGCCGCCGGTCTCCCGGCTTGGGATCATTCGTCTTGCTAGAAAGAACGAGCCACTTCAAAGGGTCACCGACCCAGAGTTGTGTCTCGATCGGGTCAACTTCTTCATGCAGTGGACCCAGTCCACTCCAGTGCTACCAGGCAACAAGGTAGCGCCCGTTTCGCACCCGACCCACGAGGTATCGACACCGCACAGAGCACAAGCTGTCAAAGATCAGCACTTCCAGGGACGCGGGCCACCCTCTGTGCCCAACCCCTTGAAGTCATCACGAATTGTACATCCTAATCAGGCTCTGGTGGTCCGAACTCTTCCACCATGACCCACAACAAGAAACTGTCGAGCGATTCAGTAGGACACCCATCAGACGTCAGACTGTCCGCCGTCAGTTTGGGATGGCAGGCCGTACACAACCCCCCCCCCCCCCATCCAGCAAAATTCAATCGGGAAAAAAGATACAAGTCTGTTCGCCTCCTGCGCGGTCGTCCATACGCAAGTGCGGCCTTTCAGGTCGCATCAGCACAGGCGTTGTCAGGAGTCCTGCACCCAAGCGAAAGGCGTTGCTAGTGCATCCTCTGGTTTCCTGGCCGCTTGAGCCACCCATCGCCAGGCCAGTCAGTGATGGAAATCGATAGTGCGAGCTGCCAAGAGTTGCGAGAACAGGCATCGAAAGACCCGACTTCAATCTGCGAGCGACTGGCGACCATGGCATGTGCTTGTTAAAGAGGTTGCGTTTGCCGTGCATCCAAATCGGCGGATGATGCTAAAAAAAGGCATCCCCACCGCAACCCTGCCGTCGGTTGCCCTCAGCGGTTCAAGACCGGCTATCATTGGCTACAACGGCTCTGCACAACGCCGCCAGCGGTTGTGACCACACACAACGACAGCAGCCATACATATACAACCTTCATGATGACTGGCATCCTGGCTTGTCACCTGCATTCACTACTGCGTCCCAGCAACCAAACAATCACGTCCACGCTAGTCGTCCTGCCACTCAGCTCTCGACGTTGGCACGAATTATCGAGCTCTCGCGTGGCCAGATGGCCAGCGGCGATCCGGGCTCAGCCGAATGCACAAAGAATGTCCAACATCAGTGATCTCATGTCGTGCAAAATCTTGTGCGAACCACAGACTTGGGTCTCGATGTTGGTTCATCCAGCTGACTGATTGGACGACGACAGGCAGCCATGTTGATTGTTGCAATTATAAGGAGCTCAGGGTCGGCGCGCAAAAGCCAGGCATGTCTCCTCGTCTATCGTGCCCTACTTATGTCACACGACAACCAGACGAATAAGACCCCAAAGTCATGCAGAGCTGCCCAGTCCATAAACGTTGCAATCGGTCAGTCCAACTTGGTGTCGTGATATGTTGACCGCTACTGTCCTGACTCGTCTCGTGGCGGCTCATCCCACCCAGGACCGCGGCACCGTCACGCACCTGCTCCCGGCTCAACTGGCGACTTTCTTTGTCCCTTCCCGACACTGAAACCCATCCGTCACCTGATTGCTTCGCTCCCGTCGTGATTTTGATGACAGGGAAATGGTCGCTAAGCTGTTGCTGTGGTGGGTCGGCCAAGCAGAATGCCTTCGACCTCGGATCCGACGCCACCCGCCCTGATCGCCGCGGCGTTGCACGACCTGTGCAAGGCATGAAGACAAGGTGTAAGCGTCGGCGACTTGATTTCACGGCTGCTCAGGTCGCCGTGAGATCTTTTACAATCGAATGCCGATTAGCCGGGGCGGGGTCCTCCATCTAGACGACAACCCGCTTGTCGTCTCGAGCATGAAACAGGAAGACAGGGACGTCATCCGAAGCCTCAGACTCGAGAGTTCACGTGAACATGCTCTTATTTGCTCGGTATTGCTTGAAGACACTACGATCATTGATCCTGTCGGGATCTGATGTCACACATGCACATGGTCCATAATTCCGAAGGGCCCTCGCCTATCACATGAGGCCGGTGATGCGAGAAGCTGTGAAGATCGTGAGGCGCATGCCAATATCTAGGTTGTTATTGAAATGCCACAAGTAGAAACAATGCGCCTTCTGACTGTCCGCGTCGTGACCTCTCGATCGCTGTCGCGACTGGTGATTAGGTCGATCTGAACGCTGGAAAGACAAGATAGAGAGGAGTAGCTACCCAGGATTAGTGTCCATCGTTGTCGGCTCACCGGCCTCTAGAGTTTCTTGACCAGTTTCAAAATAAAAACAAAATGCGCTCCGAGAGTTTACGCAAGGGATGCCCAGAAGTACGGATATGGATACACTTTATCACTTAAGGACGAGGAGGAATTTCTTCGTGAGCAAGGGTCGAAGCACGCCAGCAAGCCCCTCCGCAATGACTGAGATGTCTTGACATCAGGTTTCATGGCATGAACAATGCTTCAAACTGGACTATGGCGGTATCTGATGAGCACGCTGGTATCAATTAGGTTTGACGTGGGAATCTGCAGACATGGCTAGGTCTCGGATGTCCTTCTGTGAGTGAGAATGCGGGTTAGGTCAGATCAACAGGTGAAAATGTTGAGGATCCCTCGTTGGCGTAGCTGACTGCCGTCTTCTGATGCCTGTTGTCATGAGGTTGAGCGATTATATAATCCGTTCATATCAAGTGTTGAGAGGAGGCCTTTCTCGCAAGAGCACAAGCTGCCCTAGACGCGAAGCTTTTGAAGCCTGGTTGCGAACGAAGAGGGTCTGCGCCGCCATAACCAGCAGGCACATATCAGTTTCAGTAGAGGTATGCCAAGATTCTATATGAGATGAGATCAGAGAAAACCAAGTATCCCGGTCGAGATATCCCGAGAGGGATGCTGCCGCCATGAATCAGAACAAGCGCCACCACAGCGCCAATGGACCGAAGAACTCCTTTCCCCAGGCTGGTCAGCTCGCGCAGCCATCTATGCAGTGAAAAGCCGTGATGTACAGAAATATACAAACAACCATTATCCGGCAGCCAGCCTCAAGCCGAGGAGGGAACGGTAGCCTGTAATGTCGGGCACAGAGGCTTCTTCGTCTTGGGATCCCGCAGCGCCCGCAGCGCCTCCTCGAGCACGGCGACCTTGGCCTTGACCTCCTCCTCGTCCTTCTCCAGCTTGTCCTCACGCAGCTGGAGCTGCTCGAACCGCGCGTCGAGGTCCTTGATGCGCTCGAGGTTGGCGTCCGGCTTCTGCGATGCCTTCCAGTACTCGTAGACGATGAGGCCCATGGCGACGCTCAGGATGAAGGCGTCGCCCACGACGTCGGCGAACAGGTCGACGGCCTTGTTCTCGGAGAGGGGCCGGAACTTGCGCCGCCAGAGGGTTGTCGCGGGGAACACGCGGAAGTGGCCCTGGCGCACGCCGAACATGCCTGTCGTGCCCTGCTGGCCCTGCTGACTCTGTTGTTGCTGTTGTTGCTGTTGCTGCTCGGCCTCTATTCGAGCCTGTTCTTCCTTTTTCCTCTTCTTCTCCTCCTCCTTCTCAATCTCTTCCTTCGTCTTCACAGTCGGGGCCTCGGCCTTTTCCTTTGCTCTTGCTTCGGCGCTGGGATTTCGTAAAAGGGCGACGTTCAGCCGCATGTTAATCTGGTGTATGGATTGACCGTAGCGGGCGGCAAATTGGCGGAACCGCGGGTGCTCGTGGGCTTGGGCCTTGATGTGGTTCTAGAGTCGCGCGTCAGCATGGGAGGGGGCGTCAGGCAGATCGAAGGCCCCCCAATCCAGGCACCAATTGGGCGGTCTGGAGGCTTTGACGTTGGGAAAACGTACGGCACCATATTTGGAGATGTGTCGCACAAGCAGTGCTGCGAGCTTGAAGAGGGGTAGGGGGACCATGGCGGGGTCGGATTCTCAGATCGCTGGGTGAAGTGATCATAGGTGGGAGACCTCAGAGAGCTTGAGGTTGTCCAAAGTCTTGGCTTTGGCTCGCTGCGACGCGGGTCGGATGGCCCGTGCATCGGTCTTTCGCAACAGCGACGATCGACTTGGAGCACGAACAAGTCTGTCAGGACACGAACTTGCCTAACAGGAGCCGTAGCTTCGATCCCCGATATATTATATGGCCGAATGAAAATCATCAATGAAGAGATGGCAGCGCCTTAGAATGCGCTTGACAATGAACCTCATCGTGCCAACCTGCTTCGGTTGTATTTTTAAGTATTGTAAGGTAGTCTATTATATCTCATCTAACATTGTACATGTGAAACCATGAATACATCGCTGGCCGCTCCCATCCCATAAATCAAGTCAAGTACAAAGTGACACACAAGGTTGCTTGCCAGCGCCACTGCCCCCGAACTCCGTCCTCGTACCATGATGTTCCACGACATCATTGGCCGTGGTATGAATCGTTAAGATCGATAAGGCCCTGTTCGTACATGCGCTTCGCAATAGGATACACAGCGCGCGCAAAATTACTCCTCCTCTCCAGCACATACCGCGGCGAAACGTGCTCAAAACCCTCGACCTTGTGATTCCACCGTCCCGGCCCAAAAGCGTGCAGCACATAGGTGGACGACCAGTCTCGCGCCCAGGCCGGGAAGCGCTCGGGGTGGTTGAACCTCTCGAAGAAGCTCTCGTCGTACGAAGGGAGAGTGTCCCCTTGCGTGAAGTTGGACAAATTAGACGGCTCGTCCTCATGGGTGCCGAAGAGGGCATCCGTATCCTTGTTCTCCCAGCTGCCCGGCGCAAACGCGTCGCGCTCCATAATAAGCATCTCGCCCGGCTCCCCGACGAGGCGCTGGCCATAATTCGTGATAACAAGGTTGCTGTGCGTTATCCACCCGCCGTCGTAGGCGAGGTGCATGCCGTCCATCCAGAGGCGGATCAGGCGCCCGGCCCGCACCGACATGAAGTAGCCGCTGTTGACCATGCCACCGAGCTCGCGGCCAGCGACGGCGTTGAAGCCGCTGGTGCGGAGGGGCCGGATGTCCCGGAGCGCGTGGACGTACCAGTCGAGGTAGGTGCCGCCGAGGTCGTGGACGGCCTTGACGCGGACAAAGTCGGACTTGTGCTCCATGCCCTTGATCTCAAAGCCGTTGCCGGCGTGGGTCGGCACGTCGACAGTGCGGATCTTCATGTCGAAGAGGGTGAAGATGAGCTTGCTCCACTTGCCGGGCTCGGCTTCGCAGGCGCGGGCCACTGGGGTGCTGTTGGCCTCAGCATTGGTGTGGAGATAGATGGTCGTTGGCCGCCAGTAAAACCACACGGCGTAAATGGAGAGGAAGTGGCTGAACTGAAATCCAAAGTCTTTCGTGACGTCGGCCAGAATGTAGACAAAGTGGACAGTATTCGGAATGATCTCAGCCCGCGCGGGCCCGTCACCGCAGGCCAAAGATGCGGGTATGTAGGATCTCCCTTCGCGGGACGTGAGTAAGAGGAAGGCTATCACCAGCAAGGCGGCAAAGACAGAAGCTGTCCTCACGCCAAAGCGACTTCGAGGGAGGAACCTCACGGCAGAGTCTGGTTCTATCATGCTGAAGAGGAGGAGAGGCTCCCAGAAGAAAAAAAAAATAGGGGCTGCTTGAGCGGCACAAGCTGACGGGAGGGCAGCGAGCTACTTTTATGCGCCATCTTGACACGGCTAGGTTTCTTCGTCAGTGGGGGTATCATATTGATGTCAGGGGGTTTGAAAAGTTAAAAGCCCGGCATTCCAGAACGGCTATATATGCCCGAAGTCATAGTAAGAATCTTATTTGCCTCCAGTGGTGGTTAACGTGTTCTTGCTGCCTCTGAAACGGGAGCGTGGAGATCCATCTCCGCACGCGCTGCTGTTGATTTTGGCGTGAAGGAACCAGCCTGCAAAAAGGGATTCTGGCGTTGAGAGGCTCGACTGTCGGCCTGGCGCGACGGATCGAATGGTGGTGGTGGCTTGCAATCGACGTTGACGTTGACACGAAACGCCAAGCCTTGCTATTTCTGGTGGGGAGTTCACTAGCGACTGGCGTAGTTCAACGCCAACTTAGGTGCCTAGGTAGGTAGAGTATTGAGGTCTACTGCCGTAATCGCAACACGTGGACCGAGATTCCTAATTAGGATGTGCACCTCAAGCCTCTGGTACCTTGCTTCAGGAAACAAGCTCTCTGCTGTTCTGGTCTGCTGTTATGGTCTGCTATTATGGTCTGCTATTATGGTCTGCTGTTCTAGTAAGCTGTTCTGATCGAGTGCTGCTGCTCGGTAGCTACCGGACGCGAGGTACCAGGTAGGAACCTAGGTATCTTACCTACCTAGGTACAGTAGGTAAAAATGGCATTCAGGGGTCTGCCTAAAGAGCCGCTCGCCTGAACCGTCTTTGTTCGCCCCTGGCGCTGCACCTGCTCGTGAGCCCTAGATCATTTGAAGGGAGAAGCTCAATTGGTACATTAACCTCGGCGCCCATAGTGATTCCTATTGTTGGTTCGAGGGTGTTTTCGTTGGTGCAAGCCTGTGCATGTCGGCGCTAACGAAGGCTTCACGATCATGGCGCCAGCCAGAGCAGCTCATTTACGTCCAGGTAACTAGACGACCGTGTGTTCGAGAACTTGCTTTCGCCGCAAGGATGTACACCGCCTCTCTCAAGGGGCCGGGTTGAACATGGCACTGTTGAGATGAGCATTGCTGCCTTCCATAACTTTACCCTGATCCTGCTGCCTGGGGCGCCGGGACCCCACGATATCCCTTCGCGGGATGGGGCTTCTACTCACCCGGTCTGGCCTGCCCCACTGGATACACAGCAGCTTGTACAGCTCGATACGACAGATTACCAGAGTGGGATATTCAAATCAAGCTCCGGGAGGGTGAGACTGCAGTAGGGTGTTGTCCAGAGTTCGTCCCCCATGTCTACCCCGTGATCCCACCTCCCTGCGCTGCTGACACGGCCCGTCTACTAGAGGCTATCGATGCACAAACCGCAACGGAAACACGTGCGTCCTCATCGCCTCAACGGAGAGGGTAGCGAGCGTTGTTGTTCCGACGGGTCGTTGTGTCGGTACAGATGTCGAAAGTCAGGGGACCGCCACGTTTCCAGACATTGTCACACAGACCATTACGAAGACGAGCAATATCCGCTCCGTTGAGACTGCGCTGGCAATACGTGTCATCACACTATATGCCCCCATGATACAGCTTAATTACCAGCCCACGGACCTGGTCGCTTCGATGACGGACATCTCGGCCGAGGCAACGATCAGCGGCACAGATCGGGCACGGCCAGCGACGACGACTGCTTCCACCGGGCCACAGCAGCCGGTGGTGAGTTCTCCGACCGCCGGTAGCTCGAATGGTTCGTGAGACTCCACGTCGGTGACCAAGATTGGCATCATCGTGGGGGCCGTCGCGGGCGGGCTCCTCGTAATCGCAAGCGTGACCTGGTGGGCGTGGCGGCGGAGGAAACGCAGGGAGCCAAGATTGGGATTTGGTGAGATCGGTGAGACTCATTACACAAGCAGTCAGCAGAGAGTGGCAGAGCTACAGTTTGTTGATCAACGAGACGTGAAACATGGAGATTCACGAAGCTGGACACCGCTAGAGTTGGATGCCTACAAAGGCCCGAGACAGCCAGTCGAACTTCCTGCCGAATACATGTACAACAAGCATTGATGTACCAGATACTATGATTCAATCGAGGACACGATTTATGATGACCCACCATGTTGTTCAATCTTCGATCTGCGTGCAGGTATGTTGCTTGAGGCGCTTGGTGCTCGTACCAGCATGCTCCGGGGTCTGGACACCTGAAATGTACAACACCCAGTCTTGCGCTGTTGTACAGGTCGCGTCGCTTCGAGGATCAAAGATACCTTTGTTTCGAGATGCTTTATGGATACCAAGCCTGCTGGCACAAGGGACAGTTTGGCCGTGGCCCATTGCTGTTTGTCGTAAGCCCAGCCGCGGTGAGCGATGCCGCCAGGCCTTGCTAGGGATGCCCAGGTGGGGCCAGGTTGGCGAGGAAGGTGCTGCCAACGAGGGTTCCCACAGCAACGACAACCAGATCGGGGAATCAACAGCAGCAATATTGTACCACGCGCCCTCAATCACCCATCCACATTATTGTAGACCTCTCCCCCCAATTCTCACAGTCGGAAGGCTCCTTCGTGCCCCGAATCCGACAATCGCGCCGACCCCATTCTCCTCGGGTGGTAACATTATTTAGTCGAGTCGAGTGCATCTGTATCCTCTACACATGCTCTGCTCAACGAGGTAGGCCACCCCGGTTGGCAGTCACGGCTCTGCAACGTATGAAAGCGTGCTGGTGCTAATCACGCGACACCCCATTGCAGAGGACTCCTACCGCACATCATCCAGGACGACGTCAACAGCAGCCCCGTCCTGACCCGCGACGTCAACAGTGCGTCAGCACATGATGGCCCATAGATTAATGGCCAAAGGAGGACCCGAGATGGAAGCTTTATCGCCTAGGGATGCGAACGCCGGCCGTCAAATGATGAAGACAAACGACCTGAAGGCCAACCCGGTTCCCAACCCGGTGGCAAAGCTCAAGGCAGCACAGGGGAAAGACCACCCTCCGCCACCACCCGATACCGTCGTCGAGCCGCCCAGCTCTGACCGCTCCGATGGCGCCGTCTACCAGGTCGGCAAGTTGCTCGGCAAGGGAGGCTTCGCCATCTGCCATCAGGGTTACTTGATGCCCGAAAAGAAGAAGTATGCCCTGAAGATTGTGAAGAGCCAGATGCCGAGCAAGATGCAGACGAAGGTCCGTGACGTCGCCCCTCTCTCGCGTGGGCACCTGACTGACCAGTGTTTGTAGTTCCAAACCGAGTTGCAGATCCACTCCAAGATGAAGCATAGAAACATCGTTCAGTTTCTGAGAGCCTTCTCCTTCAATGACTGCACCTTTCTCGTCCTCGAACTCTGTCCCTACGGCTCACTCATGGAGATGGTCAAGAAGCGAAAGGGCCTGACTGAACCTGAAGTTCGCTTCTACTCAATCCAGATTGCCGGCGCCATCAAGTACATGCACAGCAAGGGCATCATTCACCGCGACCTCAAGATGGGAAACATCTTCCTCGACCGCAATATGAACACGAAGGTCGGCGACTTTGGACTGGCAGCGCTTCTTGTCACGGGCAAGGACATGCACACCATCCGACGCACCACCCTTTGCGGCACCCCCAACTATATTGCGCCCGAGATCTTGGAGAAGGGAAAGAAGGGACATGACCACATGGTCGATATATGGAGCCTGGGTATCATCATGCAAGTCCTTCTATCAGCGTTCATAGGATGACGCACATTGCTGACAGAGTACAGGTTCGCCATGCTCACCTCGAAACCTCCCTTCCAGTCCACAAGCACAGATGAAATCTATCGCAGGGCGCGAGAGCGCGACTACGAATGGCCAACGATGGAGACAGCAGGCAAGCTTATCAGCTCCGAGGCTAAGGATATTGTCGCTACCATGCTCGAGGATGCAGACAGAAGACCTGAGCCTGACAGCATCGTTCAACACCCGTTCTTCAGCTGTGGTTATCTGCCTGTAGAAGCCGAAATGACTTCCAAACTCCTCACATTGCCTCCGGATGCGCCTCACTTTTACGGCAGCCGCATGAGTACCGTGCTCCAGGCCTCAACAATGAGGCATCTCAAAGACATGTGCAGAGAGTGCGACGTCGGACCCTACGCTCGCCAGCAGGCCATTCATACACAGACTTGGAAGGAGATGGCGGCGGAGGAGAAGTCGGGTCTAACTCCGATGATTCCTCTAGCGGCACACATCGTGTATCGACCCTTCGACGAATGGCTCAAGGAGCAAAAGTCGTACAAGGCTGGCCTCCTGAGTCACTCGATGGCGCGGGCTGAGGGCAAGGCTGATGCCCAGCTCCCTCTTTCCCAGACTGTCCCGACTGGACTGCTACGCGCACCGCCGCAAAGCTTTGCAGCGCAGCAAAGAGCCCAGGGCCGCCCTACCACGACAACCGCTGCGATCAGGACCAAGGCGCAACCGGAATCTCATTCCGATACGGCCCCGCCCCTCCGCCCAAGGACTGTAAGACAGTATACAGCGTCCGACACTGAAACAGAGACGGCGCCACCCATTAGACAACCCCAGCAACCTCCACAGAAGCCGACGACGAGCTTGCGAAGAGCACTGCCCAAGACTCAGTCTGCCTCGGCTATTCCTACGCAGTCAAATTCGACTCGCAGCAGCTCACCAACATCGAATCAGAGTGACGCATCGAAGGAAAACAGCTACTCGACGCTCTTCAGTGCCTCGGAGCAACCAACGCCAGTGCTTGGTACTCAGCCGGATGCCATCCTGGAGCGTCTTCAACGTCTTCAGACTGAGCTTGAACGTGCACTCAATGCGCGCACCATGGCAATCATCTCCGCCAAAGAAAAGGCCCCCCCTCGACCCAAGGTTGTGACTCGCTGGGTAGATTACACAAATAAGTTCGGCCTCGGGTACATCCTCGACGATGGAGGTATTGGTTGTATTTTGCGAGACATTCCGACAACAGAGAACGGCAAGACCAGCATGCTGCCCCCAGCTTGCATGCTCATTCGCAACGCGGAAGAGCACAGCAAGCGCGACCAGGACCTTAGCTACACCGACAGACACCAGCCAGTCCCACCGCGAGAAGACGTCCACTTCTACGAAAACAATGGCGAGGCGGGTCTGAAGTGGTACGGCGTTCCTGCTCGGCAATTCCGTGTTCCCGTCGATGAACGGGGTGTTGCGGGAAAGATGCCTCCTGGCCGGGACGTCTATGAACACAGGAAAAGAGAGAGGGTGATTCTCTGGAAGAAATTTGCGAACTACATGATTGCATATGGTAGGGATGAATTCGGTCCGGGGCATGACAACACGGCAGACCTCTTTGGTTCTCAAGACCCCTCCTCGTCTCAACCCACTGATCTGGTGATTTTCTACCAGAGACTTGGCGACGTTGGTTGCTGGGTCTTCTGCGACGGTCATCTCCAGTTTAACTTCCCTGACCACACAAAGCTCGTCATCAACGCGGCCGGTACCTGGTGTCACTTCTGGCACCTCCCACAGGATGCCGCCGAAAGCCTGGCGAAGACAGGCACGCTTGACCCGAAGAGTCTTGATGAGCGGAGTACTCTCTCGTACCCTCTGCAGACGCTGCTGAACTTCCAAACTAAGCCGTCAGCACGCACCACGACAACGACTCGTCGCCGCCCTGAGATTCCGGCTGACTTACAGGGCATCCCTGCAGCCAACGATTTCCGCCGCAAGATCCATTTCATCAAGGACGTTGTCAAGGAGTGGGTCAGCCACGGTGGACTGGGCAACAGCAGCATGGACCGTGAGAACAGGCTGATGTGGGCTGGTCACCGCGAGACGGTGAATGTCAAGATTCCAACCAAGATGACTTGGGTGACGATTGGGGCTCGATGGGGCGATGACAGGCTGTCCGCCTATGTGGACCCGCGTAACCCGACGGTGCTGGGCGAAGAAATTGACGAGCCTAAAAGGTTCGCTCGCAGCCACAGCAGCTAAATCACGACTTGATGACCTGGCGTTGATCTCACCCGTGGTAGGCTGAGACGTGGATCGTTGGTTTTCTTCCTTTTCTTTCACACCTGTTCCTACGTAAGCAGACGAGGTGTGCAAAACTGGTCATATTGAGCGGACCTTTTCTCTCTTCAAGACTGGAAGGCTCCAACTGGCTGAATGAACATGCACATCTGGGGAGTTTGGCGAGTAGGCCGAGAATTGTGACAATTTTTTTAGTGAGCAAAAGCGTCAGGCCTCATGCATCCTGTTCTGGGCTGAGGTTTTTTATTTTTTGGGAATGCATCTTGTTCATCCACCTGCCATTTATATCTCTGCTCGGCGACGCAAGCGTGCCTGCTGGACTGCTGCAGGCGTGACTAGCCAACTGCCAAGTTCGATGGCGTGTGGACGTGTATGTAGCTTGCGAGACTTTCGCGGCGAGCCCCTCCGCAGGGATCGGCTTTGAGATGTTCCCGTGACAAGTCATCTTACTGACACGGAAGACATCGCCGCAAAGACAAACGGCAGGCAGCCCTTGCTCGTCCTGTGTACCCGACGGCAGCACAATCCAGCTCGACATCCCAAGAATGGACGACAGGCCAGGAGCTCTGAGCGCAAAAGAGCAGAAGAGCAAAAGGAAGAATTGCATGAAGCCTTTGGCTAGAACAAGGACGGAGAAGTACATACAGCATGACCTTGGGAAAAAAAAAAGGTCAAAAGAAATCCGATAGCAACTGGACGTTTCGATCGTCCGACCTCCGGGTTATGAGCCCGGCGCGCTTCCGCTGCGCCAAGTTGCTTTTATTGGATGACTTGGGCGGCGAGTGTGGAGATCATATCGATGCTGCACTCACGGATCGACTCGGCGCACCGAGCAATGGATTTTCACCCTGGTCAAGACTGAGATCATCTCCCAGGTTACCAGGTATAATGTCAGGACAATTCGGTCCCGCAGGCTCAACAACACGATGCATTCGTCACAGTCACGCGGTTCATAGCAAATTTACCAGCCCGTCCGAGACCGGTCATTATTATATCCTCGTATGTACAGATCCCAGGCATAGTCGCCGAGTCCACCACCATTTCATTGCCGCGTCCTGTATCAATGCACTCGGGGGTGAAAACCAAAGTTCAGCTCTTCTCCCAGACCGTAAAATCACGCCGAGCATGAAAATGAGAAGGGCAATCGGGGGCGAAAGAAAGGAGGGGGGGGGATGTACATGGTAACAACGCTGACGCGCGTCCCGTGCACACCATGCAAAACAAATTTCGTAGAACAACCACCGCCCAACAGCAGCACGCCCAGTGGTAAGAGTGGGAGCGCATCACTTCGGCGCTTGCGTGCGTCGTTGGTCAAGTGGCGTCGTTGGTCAAGTGGCCATGACAGTCAGGATGCCCCAAAAGTCAACGTATCGCAATGGGTGCCATCGGAATAAGCCAACATGCTGAATGATGCCGCATATCCAAGATTCACCATGTCTGATGAACTGAGGTTGAGGTGGTCGTCGTTTCGGCCCGGAGGAGGTGAGTGGATAAAGGAAAGCCTCGGTCATTAATGCAAATGGAATGTTGTGGTCCAGAAACGCCAAAGTCGTGCCGCCGGTCGTTCTCTGCTCCTCAATTACATGAGAATGCAGTCCTTATCGTCGCCCTTCTTAGCCTTGCCGTTGCGTGGCGGCGCAACCTCCATAGGTGTTCCGCCGCTGACGGCAGCCTGAATAATGGCAATCCTCTGCCTTGCGCGGTCGTCTCCAGAGTCAGCTGCCTTGACGTACCACACATTGGCCTCCAAGATGTCGCGCCGGCATCCGATGCCCATCTCTGTGAAGTACCCGACGGCATACTGCGCCTTGACGAAGCCTTTTGTGACGGTCAGTACGAAAACCAGACAGCTTTCGGGGCAAGTGACTTCCCAAGGTCCGCAGACCGCCTGGCCCACTCGTAGGCTTCTTCTTCATCCTTCTCGAGGATAGGCTCCGCACCGACCATGTACCACGCACACAGTCCCATCATGGCGGCCGCGTGGCCCTTCTCAGCCGCGCCAGTGTAAAAGTGCACACTGAGGGCAGGGTCCCTCGGACATCCGAGCTTGCCATGTTCATATGCTTCCCCCATACGGAAGTTAGCTTCGGGATGTCCAAGTTCAGCAGCTTGCGTGAACAGCTCGGCGGCATAGTTCTCATCCTTGAAGACATCGTCCCCGTAGCCCGTCTCGTACAAGCACGCCAACTGATATGGTGCCGAATTGTAGATGGAGTCCGCGGCTTCCGCCGCCAGTTTCATCCACTTGATGCCTTCGCGGTAGCGCTTCTCTCCAAGGTCACCCACGAGGCATGCCTTGCCTAACCTCGTCATAGCACCGGGGTGTCTCTTTGACGCGGCGATACGAAGGAACTGGACAGCTTTCGCAGGGTCCTTGCGACACCCCCAGCCGAATTCGTAGCACAGAGCACTTCGATATCCAGACTCGGCGTGGCCATGCTTGGCAGCAATCACAAACAGAGGAAATGCCTGACTGTAATCTTCCTTGCCCTTGCTGAAGAGACCAGACGCATAGCCATCGGCAAGGTAGTATTGCGCAAACGGATATCCGGCGCTCGACAGCTTTTGGAGGATCTGCTTGGCCTCTTTCACCAGCTCCTGCGGAGATCCCTTGATCTGATCGTCTCCCTTCTTCCGTGCAGGCTCTTCCCAATCAAGCCCTTGCTCCTGGGCCGTGGAGATGAGGAAAACAGCAAAGGAGTACTGGATGGAGAGATCGGTAGTCTTCTTAACATTTTGACGATACATCTCCAAGGTCTTCTGGGCGCTGAGAAGTGAAGCGTTGTTACCGACAGCATTCCGTAGCCTGTTGTTGTCAAAGCTGATGGGAGCCGGGGCCTGTTGAGGGTAGGGCACGTTCAGGAGCTCGGCGTAGGACGATGGCCTGACATCGGGGGAACGCCTAGACTGAGCAGACGACACTCGGTTACCAGGCATCAAGCCAGGCGAACGGCTGCGGGCACCAAAGTCGGAGTAGGTTGAGTAGACAGACGGGGGCCGCTGAAGCGGGCCGCGCTGAAGAAAGCCGCTCGAGCTAGGGGTAAGGTGTCGGTTGATGCCAGCATCCGCAGCCAGATCAGGGTTGGAGGCTGACCTGACATCTGGCATGTTGGGTGCGCTCGCCACCCGCTCAGGGGGATACTGGCCTTGATGGTGGTATTGGAACAGCGGCACGGACTGATTTCGGGGCATGTGGCCCTCAATGAGAGAGCTCTCTGCCGATCCATTGTCGCGACACTCGGAATTCTCGTTCATGCCAGAAATGGAGCTTGCACTGGTCGATGCCGAGGACTCCTTGGAGACATGTTGTCGCCTTGTGCTTGTAGTGCCATCAGATTCACGGCTGTTGCGATTGTCGTCCTGCAACGTCGTATCATTTGCTGTGATCCCACTGATGTCTTCGGGTGCGGGGGTTGTCAAGTTGCTATTCGGAGAGAAACCAAGGTCGAAGTCTCCCAGCGAGCCGCTGCCGATGGGACTTGCTAGCTGGGGCGCGTGCCGGCTGGATACAGTCGATGCTGGCGAGAGCGGCTGTCGGTCGTGGTCTCGCGGGCGAGAGCTCTGACTGTACGGACTGGTCGGCGATTGGAGCACTGGGCTGTGTGGTGGCAGGTGGGAGTTGGTGGGCGACTGAGGTTGACTTCGCTGCCGCGTGCGGTCTGCGACCACAAACTCTGCAGTGGCGCCATGCACCTGCTCAATATTCGCATTGGAGTGAACCCAGTTGTCGGCCTGGAAATTGACTCTCACGGGAGAGACGGGAGCGTCCCGAATACGTGGAGCGGTGGGTCCAGACTTGACATCGACTCCAAGTCTTTCGTGGGAATGAGGGACCCGCGGCAGTAGTTTGTGTGTATTGGGGCTTGTCGGCTCCGGAGGGGGGGAGGTTCAGTGGCGGCCATGATGGCCAGGGTATGTGGTAACGTCTTTGATGGATAGAGTTCTCTGCGGCTGCTTGTTCAACGGCAAGGCAACACGGAGGGGCAGTCGTGGAGTGAACGAGGCCAAATGCTATTGCTCGGACGTCTCGGCGAGCATTGATGCAGGCGTGTGTCTCAGAGGCTCGGTCGCAGTACGAGAGTTCGCAAGACGGTAGGATGCGCCCGCAAATTTGCCGAGTCGATCGCAGCAGAAACGAGCGGAATGCTGTGCAGCGAAGGTTTGCTGCTGTGTGAGCCGCGCAGTCGCTAAGGCTGCTCGGAGGGGGAGTGTATTATGAACTAGATACTGAATAGAGCAGTTAGTCGTGGCTGTACTGGTGAAGTGTGCACAGTCAATGATTGCAACAGCGAGGAAATTGATCGAGGTAGGCGGTTGGGCGGTGGGTACGAAGATGAGGAGGTTCTGCTTGGGGGTTTCGGAGGCCCAGTCGTATTCTGCCCTAGGAAACCGGCCGGCTGCTCGGCGCCATGCACGCTCGACTCCAGCAATGCGTGTGGTGGTGCAGATGGACGTGCAGGCTGGGCGGAGAGCGTTTTATGTAAGGCGTTCCTGGGGGTGGATGGAGCAGTGGCCCAGTCGTGTTCTCGAATGACAATTGTCTTCGCTTCAGGAACAGAGACCGGAGCGGGCAGGCTGGCAGGGTAGTGTTCAGCCCGCGGCGGCGAAGAAGCCGTCAAGTGCCTCTGGCAGCGGTGGGCGCTGTCAGTGCGGAAGGCAGCAGCAGCCACCTAGGCTGCTAGACCACCCAGCGATCCGGCCATGGGGTGAATTTCGCCTGAGCTGAACACTGCTGCTCCCGGGCTGACTCTTCAGAACCTCGCACGACAGCAGGCAGGCGCGGCACCCGCGGAGCTTTGCATACCTCGGCCGGTAACTGACTACCTATCTACCTAGGTAGGCGAAGGTAGCAGGCAAGGCAAGGCGGCCCCCAATCCATGGTTCGGAGTCGGTATCTCGCTCCGAACCTGAGCTGTCCCATCACAGCCTCAGAGGAGGAGCCTGGGGTGACACGACTTGCT